AACAATGGGAGTCATGAAGTAGGGGTGGGCTCGAACCCACGACCTTCAGGCTCTACCAACTGAGCCACTGTCGCCTCTGTTTATTTATGCATGTTTATTTGAATCACTTTGGCAGAAACAGCTTTATAATTCCACAATGTAAACAAGTGATCTCATACCCAAAGCAAATCAGGTTTCAGTATATGGGCAGTTTTTGTTTTTTTAACTTTCCGACTCCTGTTGAGATAAGATAAGATAAGATAAGATAAGATAGACTTAATCTCACACAGGAGAAATGTACATGTCATCTGGCATGGATAGAATCACTCAAGAAGAAAAAACCTTACAAATAATGCAATATTGCCAAAGATGACAGGTAAACAGTTAAGTGCCTAAGTATTCACAAGTGTGTAAATCCACAGCTGAAAATGGCTTATTATCTGAACCTCACTTTAAACATAGCCAAAAATGCACCATGCAGGCCAAAACATAATGGTGAAACACAGCTTCTACTGAACAATCAACACTGAGGTCTCAGTTATGACAGCTACAAATAAAAGTTACCGCGAGCAAAGTGACAAGATGGTGGACGCAAACTTTCGAAGGGAGCTCCTGGGAAAATCCTTGGAAATCCCGTCGCAGCCGGTTGCCATGACAAACTTGAAATGAGCATGCACAGGTAAGTTGACCTCACTCTGACTGGGTGTCAACTACAACTTCACAGTAAAATCAACTTAATATTTTTCAAATAAGATGAACTTTTCATCAGAAACTTCTGAAAGTGAATTCAAGTGGCTCACAACAGACAGTTCAAGTTCCAACTAGCAATTTTATTGTCAGTGAATACAAACATCTTCGTAATGTGAACAATTTTCGTTTTTACAGTGATGAGCAACAGTAGGAAAACATTGTTTGGGATCAGAGCAGTCATAACAGAGTTTGGACTTATCATATCTCCTCCTACAAAGTTTAGTAGGAATGCTATTATCAATTAAGTTCTATTTACTCTTAGATTGCCCAAAAACAACAACAAGTAGTTTTCTTGGAGGACATTAAAAAACCGTGCACATCACCAACACAGATCAGATGATTTATATACAGCATGTATATTTATATATATTTTATTTATTTATTTTATTTAGCATTTCTGCTTTTGGGGACGCTGCATTTCACTGTTCTATTATATTTTTACTTTGTGTATTGAGTTGAATTGAGTTGTTTGTGGTTACTTTATCAAAGGTTTGCATTTGTTCCGTGTTCCTGGTTATTGATCCTGCATTATGAGCTCATCGCTGCAGTGGAGCATCTGAAGGGGACACAACATGCTAAAGCACAACTAACATTTACTAACATATGCAACAAACTTCTAAATACACATTAGAATACAAGTGCTGAGCTGAAGGTGCTCCCAGTCTCTCAGAGTGTTTGGCCAGGGGGGCACCGGTTCAGTAGCGGCCCTTCTTTATCCTACAGCCTATCACATTGTTCCGTCTCTTGAACTGCTCATTCTCTCAATAGGAGACCAAACTGCAAACACAATCTCCCAGACCTTTTCAGCTTTGCTCTGCCATTAACCCCTTACATTCCCTGCCTAGTTTCTCCAAACCGACAACTGTTTCTTGACCTTTTGGAGTACACTAATTTTCCCAGGGCCTTTGTGAAGCAGATGCCCTGTAGCTATGGTATCTGATCTGATGACCCATTTACTCATTGGCAAGTTTATTTGTATAGCACAATTCATACACAAAGCATGCCAATGTCTGTGCAAAATTCAGTCTTCAAAATCTGGCAATTTTCTTTATATTTTCTTTATAAAGAAGGGTGTAGCTGGTGTCTGGGGTGTCTTTCTTCAATATAGGGCAACCTGTGAGACCATGTTTGCCTGTTTTGGGTGGTGAGGTGGCATTCAACAGTTCATTTAATGTAGTGTTCATTTATATAGCGCATTTTACAGATCAAGGTCACCCAAAGCGCTTTAAAATGTTCAGAGTTAAGATTTTTTCCATTAATTCCACACATTGATGACAGAAGCCATCCATTCACTCACTCATTACGTTCATATTGTACATGTTGTTAGTGGTAGGGGAAACCGGAGCACCCTGAGGACACCTATGCAGACACTGGGAGAACATTCAAACTCCAAATAGAAACCCAGGCCCTTCTCGCTGTCAAACAAGCTCTGATCACTGTGCAGCAGTGGTTAGAGAAAGGCTCAGGCTGTTAGGGGAGTTGAACCTGTAATGTATCAAAATATCCAGTGAGGTCTAGCCACTGATTAATTCCAGAAAGATTACTTAATTTGACTGGAAATAAGAGGGATACACCTTTATTTAGATCTTTCATATTTCCAGTTTGAAGCTTATATATTATCAATTGGCAAAATAAATAGGACAAGATTAAAATGCAAAGATACTCCTATCAATCCGCTCATGAGTGACAAGTTTATTATATTGTATAGTGTAACATAAAAGGCATCAATGTTTATGGAAGCAATTGGGAGCAATTATAAATGATTTTATTTGAATGATTCTTGATTTCTGCATTAAGGATTTTATACTTATTTTTATCATTATGCTGATTATTCAGAGAGTCAGAGATTTTATTTTAGTATAGAGTTATTGTTCCCTTATACATGTATTTTGCTGTGTGCTCCTCATTCCTATTGTTGTGTAACTGGTGATACAAGACTGAAATTTCACCACTTTGGGACTAATAAAGGACCTCTATTATTATTATAATTAGATTTTTATTACATAGTTATGTATGTAACTATTATTATGTGAACAAGCATGTTCATGAAAGGAACAAATAAATAAATACAAATTATTATTAGTAAAAAATAATCAGAAAAGTGTACTGTAGAAAAGCAACAATTGCCTGACGACCCTGAGCACCCACCTGAGTGTAATCTAATGTCAGCATAATTGCAGCTAATCTGAGATTGTGTCAGGGGAATGTGAAAAATGATTGGTTAAAAGCAGCAGAAAGTTCAAGGAGCTCTCCAGAAAGATCAGGGAAAGGTTTCAATCCTGGTTAGGTTATTAGAAATAGTTTCATCCATCATCTGAGAATGGAAAGAATGGCACTCAAACATGCCAAGACAGAGCCAGGTGGGCAGTCGTGTTGCCTATATCTGATGCTGATGGAGGATGCACTGATGGAAGATGTAGTTGAATCTGAGGAGCACAGGGACTGAATCTGTCACACCTGAACATGTTTTGATAAAAATACACGAAGGTCTGGTCATACGGATGTTTGGAGCTATTGTCTGTAATGTATATGATTCCAAAGAACCTCTCTTTGGCCCCATTTAGACGGAGACGCTGCCAAGCAATTAGCAAAAACGACAAGGGTACTTATTCGAAGGTGCACAGCGTTAAGACAACAACGAAAAATAATGTAGTTCTAGCAACCAACCAGTAGGGGAAGTGGAACTTTACAACAGGACACACACAACCCACGGCAGTATTATCAATTCCTCAACAACATCCTCCTCAGGCCAGTGCAAAGATGGGAAAGAATGCACCAACATCATTCTGCATCAGCAGCAGCGAAAATGGAAACTGAAACTACAACTTTGCGTGGTTTTTTTGGAGTAGAGTTCTTCTCTGTGTAGCCATTGCTGTATACGTATGTTCTCAATCTTAGCTATTGCGCATGTCCAAATGTATGTGCGGGAAGTCATTCCAGGCAGAGAGTTCACACCTTTTTCTTCACAACAGCCCCCGCTGAGCAGCGTATCTGTTCTGTTCCACTCAGGACGCTGTTTCTCAATGCTTGCGTTTTCACCCCCCTGAAACACCGTTTTCATGTAAACAAAGGCCAAACTGATACCCAACTCTACCGTTTTACTGTTCCAGCGTCCCCGTGTAAACACCACCTCTGTTTGAGCAAACGATCGCCGTAGTCTCCTCCTCTATTGGTGAAGGGGGGACCTGCTCAATGCCACTGAATCTAAGAGCACTAATATCATGATTATATAGTCATTGAAGTGTATTGTTTGTCATTCCTTCGGATGGAGCCCCTGTTCTCACTGATTCTTTCCTCTAGCTCCCTAGTGGTTTTACTAATGTAAGCAAGACCACACAGACACTTTAACATACAGTAGATAACACGTGTGGATGCACGGGTAATCATCCTTTTTTCCCAGTATGGTAGTGCAAATCATACATTTTGACAGTGTTGTCACATGGAGCACAGCAGCCACAGCAGTTGTTGCCAGTAGGAATGGATTGAAGTGTTTGTGCGGGTTCCTTTGGTTTACCTCACAAACACTGAGACGATCTCTAAAATTGTGTCCCCTTTTGTTTACAAAAAGAGAGGGCTGGAGATTTCTGGGTCTCATGTCAAAATGTGCCAGTGCTTTAAAATATTGATTTGATGGCCCGAGTGTGGGTCGATTATTGTGTGATGCAGGTGACAGAGAACTTTCTTTCTGTTTCAGTGTTTGCCCCAATGGCATTTATACCGCAGTGACAGCATACTCAGTTTACAATTTCAACATCAAAAACCTGTAAAATACTGCCCCCTTTCAATTCTCTATTGACTTCCTCATCAATATTCGGAAAAATCACTATTACAAATGTCTCTTCTCTTACAACTCTTTTTAAACTTACAAATGTGTTTTAGCAGATACGTTTTGTATCTTTTTATTTTACTTTTTATGCATGTGTTTTAGTTGCATCCTGCTTGGTACCTGCTGTGTGAAGTAGTAGTACTGCTGTGTGCAGTAATAGTACTGCTGTGTGCAGTAATAGTACTGCAGTGTACAATAGTGTATGCGGTAGTAGTACTGCTGTGAGCAGAAGGTATGCAGTAGTAGTACTGATGTGAGAAGTCGTATTCTTGTGTGCAGTACTAGTAGTACTCCTTTGTGCAGTAGTGGTCCGTGGCAGTACTGCTCTGCAGTTCTACTGTAAATGCATACAAGGCATGCCCGTGCGAGGCCGTCCAAGAAACCCCATCGACGAGACAAAACTCGAGGCGTGAACGTGGCAGCCATTTTACATCATCAAGAGTGAATGACTGAAGCCGGACCAGTGCCGGGACTTTTACACTTTTACTGTCTTTTAAATCTCTAATCTACCCTTCAAAACAATCCGCATCATACGCGTTGGTGATCCAGCGGCAGGTAGGGCAAAATTATTGCAATCATCCTCTTAAATGCTAGATAGTTTAAGTCAAAAGGCGGAATCGCGCCGTGCTGTTGCAAACAATGTGGAAACTGGTGGTGGCTGGGAACGAGTTCTCCAGACCGGCTTTTTGAAAATGGACTCTTCCTATGTGGCGGCACGTTGGCAAAACCACGCACCCATCAGACGGACTGTCCAAGCATGCGGGTCTCTTTAGTAGAATAGTAGAAATCACATTATACATTTTCTGCTTTAATATTTATAACGTCTGGGTAACAATGGCTGCATTGAATGTATGCTCAATTTGACATGCTAGCTTATTTTGACAGATCGCAGGCTTTACATGCTCATTGTGACAATGTGCTAGCAATAGTCTCAAAACGTGTTTCGTAGAAATCGTAATCTCATCACTTTCGCTGCCTTAACGGGCTTGTCCTAGTCTGGCGCGATAGTTCAAATGACTTTAGCCACGATCAGAAATTGCATGTTCTACCTACCATCAAGGAACTCTAGTTAGCTTATGCTATTTTCACTGTAGCCTAGCCGTGCATGTTAGCTTCTCCGCTAGTTAGCCTGTTAGCTTAAACATGTGCAGGTCAATCCGTAACCAATGTTTATAACTATAACATTACACCAACTTTTATAGGTACGCCAGACAATACGTATACACTTTATGACAGTGAAAGTCGAGATGCTAACGCTTGAGTGTACCACTGACCAATACGTCCTAGATGTTTTTTTGTTGTTGCGAACTGTGGCATAGGCCTTTGGATAATTTACTGGGTGGTTTATTGATCAACATCACAACAATACCAGAACACCAATTGTGATGTTGTACTCTCCTCAGTGTCCCATTTTTTTCTAATGAAATGGTGTAGTTACACTGGTCAGACACCGGAAACTGGGTTCATTCTGAATCAACACGTGTATGCTTAGAAGCTGCCTGTGCTGACTTCAGTGACCAAATGGGTAGGTAAGCAAACTAGGAAACAAAGTATAAAGCTCCAATTCTGGAGATATTATTTCAATAACAAAATGAGAAGTTAGTTTTCTTTACCACGTCTGCATCATACCACTTGTTATGTCTTGTCATCACATGGTTTTAGTCGTGCTGCTGGCATTTTGCTATTAATTAGTGAAGGGTCTTCAGACTGTTGTGGGATACATAGCTTTTCTGTTTCTTTTCCCTTGTGCCTCAATTTAATAAAATACTACTTGTGTATGTTCTGCAACTTCATTATTGTAGTTGCAATTAAATTTGGGGAATGAATAATACAACTGTTAAACCAATAACAAGTCTGAGACTTTGCACTTTTTTCTTACAAAGCTGTAGCCTTGCCCTTGACCCAGGATTAATTTGGCTCATTGCATTCACACAGATTTCTGGAGACATGGCCACAGAGCATATAAATGGAAATGGTCCAGAAGATCCAATGGACACCTCTGCTGCAGTTACCCATTCTGAGCACTTCCAGACTTTATTAGAAGCTGGTTTACCACAGAAAGTTGCTGAAAAACTAGATGAAATTTACCTAGCAGGTAAGGCACATTGAATATGCTTGCATATATAAAATAGGAATTTTATCAACTTCTTGCATGTACTGTCATTTTTATATTTTTGGATGGGGAAATTGGGTTCTTGAAGCAACTTTTTGTGGTTTCTTCCCAAAATGGGTACTGCAGACCTGCCAAAATTTACCAAATGGATGCATGTTTGCAGAAAAAATATGAATGCATATTACCTGTACAACTACTTGCAGAATTTTGTATTTGTATTATGGTTTCACTGGCATCAGGGTGTGATGGATCCTCAATATCTGGGAGTTTTTCACTGAGCCTATCTGTTCTCCCACAGAATATTGTTCATTGTTATTAATATACTCAATATTCAGAGGTTAAGTCAGGACTGGTTTATCATAAGTCCACAATTGATTTGGTTTGAGCCAGATGGGGCCAAGAACGAAACAATGGCAGCAGCTGTGAGCTGTGGTGTAGCTGCATGGGACAGGTGACAACCTCCTCTTGGGGCAGAATAGAGTTGGTTCATTAGAAACTCTCAGCCTCACAGAGTCTCGCTAGCCTATCGAGTTGCACTTTGACATCTGTTGTGATTCGTTTTGGACAAACATGCTGCTTGTAGGCTACAGTACTGCATGACCACTGCCTGCTTCTTGATTTGTGCCCTACGCTTTTCAATTTCATGCAATGTAGAGGAATCAGACTTAAAATTCAGAATTTTGTATTTTTGTCAGGTTTGGTATCTCACAGTGATCTTGATGATCGAGCACTTGAGGCTCTGAAAGAATTCAACGAAGAAGGTGCTCTTCAAGTATTGTTACAATTTAAGGACAGTGACCTTTCACATGTTCAGGTACTCACAGATGATATGGCATATCACTGAGAATTTGCTTCTGATTAAGTTTCTGTTATCTACTTTACGCTATGTTTTATTTTTTAGAACAAAAGTGCCTTTCTTTGTGGAGTGATGAAGACCTACAGGCAGAGAGAGAAGCAGGGGACCAAAGTGTCTGATACTATTAAAGGACCAGATGAAGCCAAAATTAAAGTAAGAATGCAGTTCCTCTATCAGAGTTTATAGATGTGTCCTTTTCTGTCACTGTTGTCCTCTGAACAGGCTCTACTGGACAGAACTGGCTACACACTTGACGTGACAACAGGCCAGAGAAAGTATGGTGGGCCCCCACCAGAGTGTGCCTACTCTGGGGCACAGCCCACTGTTGGGACAGAGGTAAGACTTACTTCATTCAGTGGCCTCTTTTTCCTCCTGTGTGTGAACACATTTTTTTTTTTTAAATGGAAGTATGTATTTATTGGAAACGGTACATTTCCAAGATTACTGTCAATTAAACAACTTTACCCCCATCCGTCCGTGGGGAAAGTGTGTCCATGGATGACCCTTTCGAGAGCCACAAATATCTTTTTGAATTGACAATTGATTCTGCAGCTAGCAGTTGAGCTTTTACTGAGGCTTTTACTCATAATGGTTAATTGATCATTTCAAATGATTGGTTGAAATCGAACAACTATGAATTTTGTCATTTTCTTGTGCTTAATAGTTTCCTCATCTGTCAGATTTTTGTAGGCAAAATCCCCAGAGACCTTTTTGAAGATGAGCTTGTTCCACTGTTTGAAAAAGCAGGCCCCATCTGGGACTTGCGTCTTATGATGGATCCATTCAGTGGCCTCAACAGAGGCTATGCCTTTGTCACTTTCTGCACTAAAGACGCTGCGCTGCAAGCTGTCAAATTGGTATGTATAATGTCATTTTGTATAACTTGAACATCTGTTGCCACAATGTATGCAAGTTAAGTAACTTTGCTCTTCTGTTGAAGTGCAATAATAATGAAATACGCCCAGGGAAACAGATAGGAGTGTGCATTTCTGTGGCCAACAACCGTCTTTTTGTTGGGTCCATCCCCAAGAGTAAAACAAAAGAACAGATAGTGGAAGAATTTGCAAAAGTCACAGGTATGTCCGTTACCATGGTAATTGTCTTATGCCCAGTTTTGTCCATTTATTGTATCACCCATTTAAATACTTGTGTCAGAATGATGACTTAAAATTCTAAACCAGAGTGACGAAAGTTACCATGAGGGTTTACCGCTAAGATCTGACCTTTCACAAGATAAAAAAAAGGAAGAAAAAATCTGTTGGTATTTAGTGTATTCATTATTGCTATATAATCTTTCGACAGAGGGTTTGAATGATGTCATTTTGTACCACCAACCGGATGACAAGAAGAAGAATCGAGGCTTTTGTTTCCTGGAGTATGAAGACCATAAGACTGCGGCACAGGCTCGTCGCAGACTCATGAGTGGAAAAGTTAAGGTGTGGGGAAATGTGGTCACTGTAGAATGGGCCGATCCTATTGAGGACCCAGACCCGGAGGTCATGGCGAAGGTACAGCAATTCCTACTGGCAGCTTTAAAACTGAATTGAGTAGTATTTCACAGAATGTTTTCTTTACGATCTGTTATAGGTTAAGGTGCTATTTGTTAGAAATCTGGCTAGCACTGTTACAGAAGAGATACTTGAAAAAACCTTCAGTCAGTTTGGCAAACTGGAACGTGTGAAAAAACTTAAAGATTATGCATTCATCCACTTTGAAGAAAGAGATGGTGCTGTGAAGGTACACAGGGGTCAACAACTTTTTCTCTATGTGGACAAAATGTGTTTTACTGATAAGATATTCACTTGTCAATAACACAGGCGCTCGCTGACCTGAATGGGAAAGAGCTTGAGGGAGAACACATTGAAATAGTTTTTGCAAAACCCCCTGACCAGAAAAGAAAAGAACGTAAAGCCCAGAGACAAGCCGCTAAAACACAAATGTAAGCTTTATTTTTTTAATGCATTTGGCAACTGTACTATGAATGTGACTGGCAGCATCCTTTCTGTGGTTTCAGGTATGATGATTACTACTACTACATGCCACCTCACATGGCCCCTCCGGCCAGGGGCCGAGGGAGGGGTGGGCGAGGCGGGTACACATACCCTCACGACTATTATTGTTATGAAGACTATTATGATTACTATGGATACGACTATCACAACTACCGTGGGGGCTACGATGACCCATACTATGGCTATGAAGACTTCCAAGGGTCTGGCAGAGGCCGGGGAGCTCGTGGAGCCATTCGGGGAACCACCAATCAGACCCGGGGCCGTGGGGTGGTAGCGCGTGGACGGATTGGATTTTCTCAGCGAGGTGCGCCAGGAGCAACCCGAGGTAACTAGCCATTTATCAGACGTCTTTGTATTAATGCATACAGGTGACTGACTTCAGTGAATTACTATTATGTTTCTAACAAATGTAATAATCCAAATTTTAATTTCCAGCAGGGAAACGTGGCCGGGCACGCTCCTGACCTGCCCCTGTGGATACTGACTTGATGAGTGGGGTTACACCGTAAGCTGCAATGGATGTTAATACAAAAGAGCATGACACAAGGTCCAATGATATTCCAGCCTTACAAAGAAGAATTTCCCTCCCCATGTTTTTTTTGTTTTTTTTTTTGTTTTTGAAACTGCCACCTTAGAAAAGATTGAGGATTGATTACAGGCCATGGCCTCTGCCCAGATATGATATAGGGCTTGTTGCCCCAACAATCTACCCCTTCCCTGTCCCTAAGATGCCATTTAAAAAAGATAATTATTGATGAATTTGCACTTTTAAGTTTCTTAGGTTTGAAGTGGCTCGAAGGAGCTTGATGCTATGTATATGTTTGTGCTATTTGCAATTTTATTGTCAGAATATCCATGTTAATCTTAAATGTTTGATCTGGATGTTTGAATGAGAAACATTTGCAGGTTTTAAAGGTGTACCCACCTGGCATGGATAAGTCAGGCATTCCAGGAACGTGGTTCTTTTCAGAACTTGTCTTTAAAGGGTTGGTTGACTACCTCAGTACCGAGGACTAAACTACCCGGCCTGTACTGTAAATAGGGAAACTTGTTGATGAAAGCAGGGTTTGTTTTTATATGAAATATGCACAAGAGCTGCAGCAAGAATGGTGCACTTGATGTCAATCATTAGAGCTGCAGCGCAGACACTGCAAACAGTCAAACTGGGCATGCAAAAAGAGCTCATGTGATGAGTCCAAACAAACCCTGCTTTTATCTTATTTTGAACTGAATCGGCTCAATGCCTGTTCAGAGTATGTAGTTACTGGTTGTATAGTTTTTCGATAAATGTTACTTTTGTAAAGGCTTAAAAATCACAGGTAACCACTTACCTTTGATTTGACAAAAAAGTTAAAAAAAAATTCAAAATAAATAATACAGCCCTGCAGTGTCCCTTTTGTGCTATACCAATTTTACAGTGAACATCGGGATGAAAACAATGTTAAATGATTAATCTTAGATCATGTTAACTTTAGAGGTCCAAGATTAGAAAAGAATAATGAAGTTTACATTTAACAGTTTAACACATCAAATTAACTGCCTGTAGTTGATTTGGTGTCATCTCTGGCATGGCTCAGGGGATGCTGCAGCGACTTTCTATTTCCACATTGCAAAAAGGAAACTGTTCCAGTCTCAGTTTTCTACAGTTAACTCCCTCGTAAAAAAATATCATAACCAACTTTTGAAAAAAAAAAATGTTAGCAGTTTTAAACTATTGTTGGTGGCCAACATCATTTTTTGCATTCCTGCAAATTGTTTTATACTGTAAAATGGAGGTGAGTGTAACTTATTTTTGTAATAAAGTTTTTGATTTCTAACTTAGCTTACCGTGTTCTTATTAACATGAAACCATAGAAGGCATATTTGTTACATATTTGGTAATGAACCAGCTGCACATTTCAAAGTGCTGAGATTATCAAACTCAGTACTGAGGTGGTGTCAACTTTTACCACAAAAGTTGAGCCAACATAGCTGGCTGATCAATTTGATGGTGAGTAAAGTAAAATGTATTTATATACCGCCTTTCAAAGACTAGAGTCACAAAGCGGTTTACGATAGTTAATTTTTGGGCATTTGTCCTCACTCCACAGAGATGGGAGCGGGGTCGCTAGTACAGGAGGTGCATGCCAGACGTATTGTACATGTTTTTAGTGGTAGGGGAAACCGGAGCACCCGAAGGAAACTTAAGCAGACACAGGTAGAACATGCAAACTCCAGTCGTAAAGGCCCTATTCCGACCGGGATTCAAACCCAGGACCTTCTTGCTGAGAAGCGAGAGTGCTAGCCACCGTGCCGCCTTAAGGAAGCTAGAGTATACACCTGCATGACTGCTTACATTAGTTTTAAGTAGGTACAGTGAAACAATTTTTATTTTAACACTAAACATCCTGTTGATATAGCTATGACGTACACGTGACGTTTTCCTGCATGGCAAACGTAAATGTATAACATTACATAATCGTCTTATTTTCGTCTAAAACGTTCCACATTGGGGCTTTTAAACATCTATTATATATATTAAAAAACCGTTCAAGTTCTGCTGTGTGCGTGGGCGCGTGCTGCTGAGAGGACTGACGCACGCGTGGCCCAGGATCTACGTGCGTCCAGAAGAGCGTGCTCAGGATGTGACCCACAGCACCACACACTGCTCTGTACCGCGGTAAAGAGGTCCGGCTTTTCGGAGTCAACAGTAAAGAGGCCCGCACATTTCTAGCGGGTTGCCGCTTTATGCTGTTACTTACGGTAACACAGAAAAGAGAAGCCGCGAGGATCACCCGCCACAATGCATTTTTTAACATGTTTATATTTTTTTTAAATAAAAAACCTTAGAAAAAGCTTTCACTGCACACTTGTTCACTGTGATGCCCTCTATTATTGTGCAAAGTCACATTCACTTTTACTGTAGAAATTCCAAGAAAATGGGGGTCAAAGTGTGCAATAATGATCCAAAATGCACTTTTTAACCTGGATTCTTAAAAAAAAGTAAAAAACCTTAGAAAAAGCTTTCACTGCACACTTGTTCACTGTGATGCCCTCTACTATTGTGCAAAGTCACATTCACTTTTACTGTGGAAATTCCTAGAAAATAGGGGTCAAAGTGTGCAATAATGATCCAAAATGCACTTTTTAACCTGGATTTTAAAAAAAAGTAAAAAACCTTAGAAAAAGCTTTCACTACACACTTGTTCACTGTGATGCCCTCTACTATTGTGCAAAGTCACATTCACTTTTACTGTAGAAATTCCAAGAAAAGGGGGGTCAAAGTGTGCAATAATGATCCAAAATGCACTTTTTAACCTGGATTTTAAAAAAAAGTAAAAAAAATTAGAAAAAGCTTTCACTGCACACTTGTTCACTGTGATGCCCTCTACTATTGTGCAAAGTCACATTCACTTTTACATTGGAAATTCCAAGAAAATAGGGGTCAAAGTGTGCAAAAATGATCCAAAATGCACTTTTTAACCTGGATTCTTAAAAAAGTAAAAAACCTTAGAAAAAGCTTTCACTGCACACTTGTTCACTGTGATGTCCTCTACTACTCTGAAAAGAAATATTCTAAACTTTCACTGTACACTCTCAGAAAAAAAAAAAAAACACCAATATTCGTGTCCAATCTTTTTTTATGAACGGATTTGAGAAACCAGTAACCGTGACAGTAAGAAAATAAAAAACATGCATCAAAAGGTTGAGATGCCAGGTTATCTCAATGATTTTTTTGGACACAGGCAGCAATGCCATAACGTTTCTGGCTGTTTTGCTTTTTTCCGCTCACATGGGTTTAAGGCCAAGCACTCCTCATGGTACCATTTTTGGCACATGCTGCATTGTATCTGGAAAAAAGGAAAAATGAATACAAAATACATGAGTATTTTGAAAAATGATGAATAATGCATTTCTTAGTTTTCTATGAATAGTCCAGAATTGATGACCCTTCAACTGTGCCAAAAGATCTGAAAGAATCCTGCACACATTTATTTGGGTGAATTTGATATTACGATGGACTTCCAAGTCGCTCCTTTCATTTTTTTTCAATTGACGACTGGGACTTAAAGTGATAGTATGCAACTCTAAATGAATTACACATTTTAGGAACTGTGTTAAATTGACCTCCTGGCCTTAAATGTTGATATGAAATAAGTCATTTTATTATTTTTAATTTTACGGGCAAGTCCCACCTTCCCTTCTCTTAGCTATAGCTCAGAATCCACGATGCCATCGAGGTTAACCAATCGAGTCATGCCAAGAGCTGTCAATCATCTGCGCTGATGCTCGTAGCTGCTCATGCTCAGTTGTTTGTTTTCGCGGAGCCTCCGAATCAAGCCTTTAGGCTCTGGAACTACAAGAAAACTGAAAAAAGAATTCTGAACATCCGCGCTGAGGTAAGTAAGTAAGTAAGTAAGTAAGTAAGCTTTTATTTATATACCGCCTTTTCACTGCACATTGGAGTCTCAAAGCGGTTTACAATTGTTGGGTGGGGATCGCCAGTACAGGAGGCACATGCCATACCTATTGTACATATTTTTAGTGGTAGGGGAAACCAGAGCACCCGGAGGAAACCTACGCAGACACGGGGAGAACATGCAAACTCCACTCAGAAAGGCCCTGGTCCAACCGGGATTCGAACCCAGGACCTTCTTGCTGAGAGGCGAGAGTGCTATCCACTCAGCCACCGTGCCGCCCATACCCATATATATACTGAACCTATATCCATAATCATATATATACTGAACCTATATTCATAGTCATATATATACTGAACCTATATCCATAATCAGATATATACTGAACCTATATCCATAATCAGGTCCTCTGCAGATGTGTCCTATAATGTTCAATTCATGATAATAGCTTGTCCCGGGTTTGCCGCGACCTCTTCTTTTGTACATTATTTATTTATTTTTTTCATTAAAACGCTAACAAATCATTCTGAAATCCTCCGTGCATGTGTATTAATGATGTATATGTATAATGTGTTCTCTAATTAACATTTATAAGTGTTAAGGAAACGCGAGCGTAGACCAATCAGAAAGGAAGGGGGAGGGAGCTTGCGTTGTTTCTTTCAAATCAAGTACCTCTCTCTCTCTTTTTCTGACAAACTGCGGACGATCACTTTAATACTTTATGTTCCTATAGTACAGACAGACTATATAGGCATTGGGCAAATCTTTTTGCATTTTTAGTTTTAGTTTATATGCAAAAAATGACATAAATAAACATAGAACATTCATAAGTTATAAGCTATTACCACCCTAACATTCTCATTTTACTTATCAACTAATGTTTACATTGCACAATAATAGAGGGCATCACAGTGAACAAGTGTGCAGTGAAAGCTTTTTCTAAGGTTTTTTACTTTTTTTAAGAATCCAGGTTAAAAAGTGCATTTTGGATCATTTTTGCACACTTTGACCCCTATTTTCTTGGAATTTCCAATGTAAAAGTGAATGTGACTTTGCACAATAGTAGAGGGCATCACAGTGAACAAGTGTGCAGTGAAAGCTTTTTCTAAGGTTTTTTACTTTTTTTTAAAATCCAGGTTAAAAAGTGCATTTTGGATCATTATTGCACACTTTGACCCCCCTTTTCTTGGAATTTCCACAGTAAAAGTGAATGTGACTTTGCACAATAATAGAGGGCATCACAGTGAACAAGTGTGCAGTGAAAGCTTTTTCTAAGGTTTGTTACTTTTTTTTTAAATCCAGGTTAAAAAGTGCATTTTGGATCATTTTTGCACACTTTGACCCCTATTTTCTTGGAATTTCCACAGTAAAAGTGAATGTGACTTTGCACAATAGTAGAGGGCATCACAGTGAACAAGTGTGCAGTGAAAGCTTTTTCTAAGGTTTTTTACTTTTTTTTAAAATCCAGGTTAAAAAGTGCATTTTGGATCATTATTGCACACTTTGACCCCTATTTTCTTGGAATTTCCACAGTAAAAGTGAATGTGACTTTGCACAATAATAGAGGGCATCACAGTGAACAAGTGTGCAGTGAAAGCTTTTTCTAAGGTTTTTTACTTTTTTTTAAAATCCAGGTTAAAAAGTGCATTTTGGATCATTATTGCACACTTTGACCCCTATTTTCTTGGAATTTCCACAGTAAAAGTGAATGTGACTTTGCACAATAAAAGAGGGCATCACAGTGAACAAGTGTGCAGTGAAAGCTTTTTCTAAGGTTTTTTACTTTTTTTTAAAATCCAGGTTAAAAAGTGCATTTTGGATCATTTTTGCACACTTTGACCCCTATTTTCTAGGAATTTCCACAGTAAAAGTGAATGTGACTTTGCACAATAATAGAGGGCATCACAGTGAACAAGTGTGCGGTGAAAGCTTTTTCTAAGGTTTTTTACTTTTTTTAAAAATCCAGGTTAAAAAGTGCATTTTGGATCATTATTGCACACTTTGACCCCTATTTTCTAGGAATTTCCACAGTAAAAGTGAATGTGACTTTGCACAATAATAGAGGGCATCACAGTGAACAAGTGTGCAGTGAAAGCTTTTTCTAAGGTTTTTTACTTTTTTTTAAAATCCAGATTAAAAAGTGCATTTTGGATCATTATTGCACACTTTGACCCCTATTTTCTAGGAATTTCCACAGTAAAAGTGAATGTGACTTTGCACAATAGTAGAGGGCATCACAGTGAACAAGTGTGCAGTGAAAGCTTTTTCTAAGGTTTTTTACTTTTTTTTTAAAATCCAGGTTAAAAAGTGCATTTTGGATCATTTTTGCACACTTTGACCCCTATTTTCTTGGAATTTCCACAGTAAAAGTGAATGTGACTTTGCACAATAATAGAGGGCATCACAGTGAACAAGTGTGCAGTGAAAGCTTTTTCTAAGGTTTTTTACTTTTTTTAAGAATCCAGGTTAAAAAGTGCATTTTGGATCATTTTTGCACACTTTGACCCCTATTTTCTTGGAATTTCCACAGTAAAAGTGAATGTGACTTTGCACAATAATAGAGGGCATCACAGTGAACAAGTGTGCAGTGAAAGCTTTTTCTAAGGTTTTTTACTTTTTAAAAAAATCCAGGTTAAAAAGTGCATTTTGGATCATTATTGCACACTTTGACCCCTATTTTCTAGGAATTTCCACAGTAAAAGTGAATGTGACTTTGCACAATAATAGAGGGCTTCACAGTGAACAAGTGTGCAGTGAAAGCTTTTTCTAAGGTTTTTTATGTATAAAAAAAGAATCATGTTAAAAAATGCATTGTGGCGGCCCATCCCCGCGGCTTCGCTTTCCTGTGTTACCGTAAGTAACAGCATAATGTGACACCCCTCTTTTTACGTGCGGACCTCTTTACCGCTGGTTCTGGAAAGCCGGACCTCTTTACCGCGGTTGCTCTGTTTACATCGAAGGCAGAAAATGTCCGCCTTCCTGGCGCGTTATCGGGGCCGTATTCCGACGTCATAGCTCCGCGAAACGACGACACTGGAGGATGCCACTTTTAAGGATGTCATTCAGAGGAGTATTCTCTCCGCATAAGCCGAGCACAGAGGCCTGAGGCCGGGGATGGGGACCGGCTGTGTGAGCGCGGTCCTGCGGAGGATGAAGAGCAGGATGCGGCTGGAGCTGCTGCGGGAGCTGGGGCGACAGTACCCGCTCTTCTGCTTCCTCCTGCTGCTGCTTCTCTGTTCCACGGTGCTTTTGAACAGGTCTGACTCATTGGGCTTTCATCTTCGCCTCATGCTCATGTTCACGAAGGTTTAACTCCGCTCTGCCCCACACAGATACATCCACATCATCATGATGGTCTGGTCATTCCTGGCTGGAGTTGTCACTTTTTACTGCTCTGTGGGACCAGAGTCTCTGCTTCCTAACGTGCTAATATCCATTAAATCAAAGACAAAGACTTATCAGCCGGAGCTATTCCCTCTTGGCCACAGCTGCGCCGTGTGTGGAAACATAAAGTGCAAGAGGCACAGGTAAAAAAAAATATGTAACGCTAGTCATTGTTTTATGTCGACGTGCGACATCTAGCGGTCATGTGGGTTATGTATTTCATGAATTACCAACAGGCCGACCTTACTAATGGAAAATTATCAACCCTGGCTTGATCTTAAGATACCATCTAAAGTGGATGCTTCCCTTTCACAGGTAAATATTTTTACTTAGATACTGTTTGTCAAAATTAAACATTTGTCCCGTTTTCCTCCTAGATTCTGGAGTTAGTCTTGGAAAACTTTGTGTATCCATGGTACAGGTAAGCATCAATGCGGTCCTCATATGTACTGTATCGTAGCTCCACTGGTGTCTTTCGTCCTGTCTATTTAATTTACAGGGATATCACAGACGATGAGGCATTTGTGGACGAGCTCAGGATGACTTTACGTTTCTTTGCTGCAGTTTTAATCCGTAGAATTCAAAAGGTCTGCTAACATAAGCCTACGTCTCACCTCTGCGTCCTCCCAATCACCCATAACGCGTCCATTCTCCCTCAGGTGGACGTTGCGTCACTCATCCTAAAGAAGCTTCTCAAAGTTTCCATGAAGCACATAGAAATCATATGCAAAGCTCGACAGAAAGGTATTATTTTGTTACTCAAGTCATTGTGGTGTAAAGAGGATCAAGCTTTTTTTTTCTTGTGCAGTTAAAACCACTGAACAACTTCAGCAAGCGGCTTTGGAGGAGTACGGCCCGGATCTTCACGTGGCGCTGCGCAGTCGCAGAGATGAACTCCTCTATCTGCGCAGACTGACAGAGATGCTGTTTCCTTATATCCTCCCTCCTAAAGCCACAGACTGCAGGTGAGTGAGGGCAAGTGCCTCATATAATCTTAAAATAAATATTGTACATTATTTTTGTCCATTGATGATGATAATGAGACTTACTTGAAATCTACCGTAGAAAACATACAAGTATCAATGGTAAATATTGATATTCGCCTGCCTTTTCTCAATGCTACCACCAGAGGGGCGCAAACACAGTCATGAGATGGTAATAACAGCAATTGCCCCTGAGAAGGTGGCAACACTATTTTAGGGGCAATGCTTTTGTTTTCAAAGACAGAAAACTGCTCTGAGCGTGTTATCGTAGTGTTACAACTACACCATACGATTACAGGACTGATACCAGAGCTTTTAGCATGTTTTTCAAATACATCCATCCATCCATTTTCTTCCCCTTAATCCATTTCTGGGTCGGGGGGGGTGGCAGTCAGAGCTGCACCCAGTACACAGAGCACCAGCCCCTCACTGATCCTCCTGCAGGTGGTGAGTCCACAGGAGCCTTGATCTTTCAGTGGGAGCTTCAGGCAAAGTGGGGTTAAGTGTCTTGCCCAAGGACACAACGACAGGCCCAAAGACCAATGCTCTACCAAATGAGCTACTGCCGCCCCTTTCAAATACATACAAGGGCAATTATCCTCACAAATGCATGTTTATTATGTATTTGAATGTCCAAAAAGCGCTATATAAAATCAAAGCATTACGATTTCCCTTTGTTTATGATTACTCTCTCAATTAAAGCGGTTGTGCCTCACTTGAAACAACATCAAACATGAACTGTTATAAAATCCACATTACTAAGTCTCAGAACATTTTAGTTCTATCAGTGTTTTTCACATGTGTATTTCCATGGTATATCCCTACATTTGATCATCCTCTGCTGTTCACATAAACTTACCAGTAATCTTGAATGAGTGCTACCCATCAGCTCTGGAGATCAGCAGCTTCTGAAACCCCAGGGGGCGCTATCACAAAATAATTATACATTGGATTCGGACTTATTGCTATATCGGCTGCTGAGATCAAAAACTTAAAAAAGGTAGCAGCCCATAGTCCAGTACTGTACTCCAACAAGACAAACAGAAAGAGCCTTGTATTTATGAATCAGAAAAGTGAGATATATCAGCTTTAATGATTTGACCGAACCTGGAGCTGCCCTGAGTGCGGATCCTCTTCCTCCTTCATGAGTTGTGTTTTCCACTGACCACACCCCCTTCTCTCCCCTCCTTCTGCTCAGATCTCTCACTCTCCTCATCAGGGAGATTTTGGCTGGATCTGTCTTTCTTCCTTCTCTGGATTACTTGGCTGATCCTGTAAGTTTAGACAACCGGTATCTTTGCATTTCCTAGACACAAACCTTCGGACAAATCTAAAATCCAGCTTGGATTTAAGTTTCTCCCCTAAAACCTCCTTTTTTTTTACAGGACACAGTCAATCATTTGATTCTGCTTTTCATCGACAACTCTCCGGTAAGTAATGTGATGTTTGTAAACAAAAGTAAAGGTAATTATTATGTAACAAATATTACTGTTTATTATATTATTATTATTCTTGATTACTCTGGATATTGCTGTAGAAATAAGTATTGACAGATGAAAATGATAAGATGTTTACTTGTATTGAATTAATATTTGTCATAAAAATGTCCAATTACCCATATTGTGGATTAAGATTTGCCTTTGAGATTTGATTTTATTGATAACTGATTTGGCAGGACAGAAAGTCGCATGCTAATCCTGAAATGTGGCAATCTAACAAATATCTAAAAATAATCTGGAGAACGAAGAAGAAAAGAGGAACCCGCAACATTTGGTTAACACGTACATTTTTAAAACTTCTTCTGTAGAAATGAATGAGGACTATACTTTCGCAACAAGGCCAAACTGCCAAGTGGACAGGACTTCACCGCCACATTACAGCACTCAACCAGGCAAATAGGATATTAGAATATGGTCATGTAGTGGAGGGCCGTTACCATTAAACATTATCGTTGGACAGCTCTCCAATTTGGCTAATTACTTCAAGTTCTTTCAATTCTGCTGTCTATAAAGGGATGTAGCCAACGTAGGTATTTAACATATGGTCATAGCTGTGTTTTATGTTTATGTGAACAGCAGAGAGCCGGCACAAGGAGATGCACGAAATACATTAGACTTGCTTTTATGTGACTAGGGCTGTTGTCAGAGCAGAGTTTATGGACTTATGAAAATAAATAATACAAATGCCAATGTTATAAACGCAAATTCTGTTTCTGTCTTTTTTTCTTCTTTAGCCTGAACAAGCGACAGAGCCCTCGTCCCACCTGGTCCCGTTCCTGCAGAAATACGCCGACCCTCTGTCTAAAAAGCCCTCAGTGAGTCCCCCATCCTCCTCCTCCTGCTGCTGCTGCTGCTTCTGCTGTTGTGTTGCCTGCTGAGTGACCACTGCTCCCTTGTGTTGTGCTCTTGAGCAGGTGCTGAAGCTGGAGCTCAGAGAGATCCGCCGTCAGCAGGACTTACTCTTTCGCTTCATGAACTTTCTGAAGCACGAAGGCGCCGTTCACGTGCTCCAGTTCTGCCTCGCTGTCGGTGAGTGCGTTCTCTTTACTTTACTTATGTGGGAGATACTACGAAGGTCCTGGGCTCGATTCCACCTTCAGACCGGGCCTTTCTGTGTGGAGTTTGCACATTCTTCCCATGTCTGCTCCGGTTTCCCCTAACACAAAAAATGGGTAAAATTGTGACTGGAAATTAGCCAGCAAGTGAAGCTACAGAGTGGTGGGTTTAATTAATGCATTCAGTTCCATCCATATTACCCAATAGATAAAATGAAAGGTTTCTTCTGTGTGCTCCGGTTTCTCTTACCACTAAAACCATGAGTGACTGAATGGATGGTGATGGTCGGAGGCTTAGTAATGACAGAATGCCTTGGAAGCATCTGTGTGGAGTGAATGGAGACATATTAGTACACCAGTATCATTGTAAAGTGCTTTGTGTGACATTGGTCTGTGAAATGGAATGGAATGGAATGGAATGGACTTAAAGCCAGGATACCTCACTTTCAAAGTCACGGATCTAAATTATACAACCCATGTATCCAGTCCCTCACCCTCACAACAGTTTGGGCCCATCCCTAGTTTGTACATATAGACCTGTCTCATGTTTAGATTCATTTAAAACACTCTCCTCTCAGCCCAAAGCGCCAAATAGTGACTCACTGGGCTCTTTCTTTGTAGTATGAAAAATCTGTTTTCTAATAAGATGAATACAGCATGTTGTGGTCTGATTTGTTCACAAAAACATGTAAATAACAGGACTCAACGTGTGTTATTTCTGAAACAATAAAGGTAGGTAGCTAACCCAGCTCCAAAGGCCATACGACAGCTTTGCCTACTCGGTTTGATTACAAGACAGATATATTTAATTATAATTTTTTCAACAGCTGAAGCTCCTTGTGCTGGTTTTATGTACGTATAAAACTGTCCCAGGACATCGTGCTGTCATTTGTATATTTCCCTGACTCAAAAAGTGATTGACTTACTCTTTGATGAACGTCAGAGAAACAGGAAACAGATTCTTCTGGTGTGCTATTTAATTTATTTTCTGTGCGTAACAACTATATCTCTAACCCGTTAATCATCAAATAGCACTAGTTTATAATGCAGCAATAGGCATGTAAACCACACATATGAGTTAACATGCACACAATTGCCTAAAAGTGGATTATTTACAACAACATTTTCCTAAATTCCTTCTGTATTTCTACTACGTCCACCAGTTTGAATGTCTGCAACTTGGCTTTTAAATGTGTGAACAACTGTGTTTCACCTCTGCTCTCTGGGCTCATGCTGAAACGCCAGTCTGCTCTCAGAGCCTCCACCAGAGCCTCAGTCAGTGGGGACTGTGTGCTCCCAAAGCCCAGAACATCTTTTGGACAATCCAGCTTCTCCTTTAGGGGGGTTAAACTGTGGAAGTCTCTCCCCACATGACCATCTTCAGCAGAAAGCTCAAACAGTGGTTAAGATCCAGGCAGACTGGTTCTCACGCGTAAATTGTAATTGTAATTTTTTTAAATGTATTTTATCTTCTGTAATGTAAAAGCCCCCTGTGGACTACTGTTGAAAATTAGCATCTGTGCTATAACACTTACAGCAATGCATCTGGTCCAATGTTATTGTTATGTCCATATTAAATAAATAAAACTCTGAGCTCAAAATTATCTCTCGTTTCTCCAGTAGAAAACACGAGATGTGGGGACCCTGTGCATTTTATTTACCATAATAACCAGAGCACATGGAGGCACCATATGGCTTTTCTTGTGCATTAATTATATTTAAATCCAACGACATACATGCAGTTGGGGGAGTTCCATTTAGCATACAGCATCACTTCTTGCATTCAACTTAAAATTCACAAACACAGACCTCAATGGTGCAAAACGACTACAAACATTTACTAAAGGTTCTGTCCCGCTAAGATAAGTCATTCCTTGTCAAAATGTCTTTGCCCACAGAGGAATTCAACAATAGCATTTTGGATCCAGATCTGAGCGACGGCAAGAAGATGACGCTCCATAAAGAAGTGAAGAAAATCTACGAGACCTACATTTTGGACGAGAGCATTGATAAAATCCGCTTCGATCCTTTCATTGTGGAAGAAATACGCCGCAGTAAGCTATTGTTTGCTTTATAACCATGCGCTTTCCTTTCAGCAGCAGAAATAGACTCGAGTCATTGGAAACCCACTGCTTGGAATAGAATTGTGTTGGATCTCCTCCTTTACACATTTGATTTGATTGGTTAAAAGTGACTGAGACATTTCATCAGCCTACACATACCGCTTGTTTTTTTTTTTTCCATATAATTCCATTTGCTTGCAGGGATATGGTTGGTGATAAGGCTGGAGAGAATTTGCATTTTCAGAGTACTCAAATCTTGACTCAAATCTGGGAGCATAAATTAATGTTTTGATAATAATGATTTTAAGTTCTAGTTCGGTTCTGTTTTTTTATAAATGAAAATGAGTTTGTCACAATAGATTTGTAAATGAGCCGTTGAAGCTAACAGCTAAAGTGAACATGATAACGTGAGTGAATTTCTACATCCTCTGATTTTATTGTTTTATTTACAAAGCTTTGTCCATCATGAGTCAACAGAACATTAAAAAGAACCCTGTCTTGTGTATCTGTGTGTGTCTGTCTGAATGTGTGTGCATTTCTGTTTGCCTGTCTGTGTGTGTGTGTGTGTGTGTGTCTTTCTGTCTGCCCTGTTAAATAAATGAGCGGGCTGTTTTATTTTGTATCCTGTTTGATTGTTGTTGAATGCTCACACACATTAGAAATGATTCACTCTGTATTAAACCACTTCTATTTCTATTTTTTTTTTTTGTACCCCTGCAGTTGCGGAGGGCCCATATCCCGGCGTGGTTAAACTCCAAACCATGAGGTGTCTGTTCGAGGCGTACGAGCATGTGCTGTCTCTGCTGGAGAACGTCTTCACGCCCATGTTTTGTCACAGCGACGAGGTCAGTCACACTCCACTCTCCTTTCACATGAAGAACGTGGACGCATCACTCTTAGAAATTGACCTAATTTGATGAAACCCGTGTGACGCGGCCGGCAGCCAATAGCTCGCCGCTGCGTCAGGAGGGACTCTCTGTGGCTAATGGGGCGATCCTGGCACTAGGCCAACCTGACAATGGTGATTTCACCCCCAGTGTCTGCGCCTTACAAAAGAGTAACGTGGAGAAGCACTATTGTCACTCTAGCCCCCCTCCTGCGACCGTCCAGACAATATAACATCAATGGAATCCTGTCTTGCTAGTTTTGTTGAAATTAAATGGAAATGGTCTTCTAAAATGTTGTTTCTCGTGTTTTTGTTTGCTCTCTTAGTACTTTCGACATCTTCTAAAAGGGGCGGAGTCTCCTTCGAGGACGTCCAGGATGAGCAGGTAAGGACTAACTTTTGAAGACACCAAATCATTTATTACTGCATATTTAAATGTACACTTTAAAATCTAATCGAGAAAGTGACCGTTTTGGGGAATAGTGTGGATGTGGCCTCTGAGCCCTGCCACTAACTCCATATTGTGCATATGTTCCAGAAATAGCCTCAGTTTGGATGACATCCGGTGAGTAAATAGATACAGCAAAATATGATATTGAATAGAAACCACCTGCTGTCAAAACCGGAGTCATTCATTCATGCATAAAGCAAAGCTCCTGCTTGTCCATTACATTACAGCATTATCAGGATGCTCTCGCTGCTGCCCGCTCTTCATGACAATGTGATCAAACTTAGTATGTTATAATGTTTCATTGTTTGATGATGTTTCTGTAAAGCACCAGGTCTAATTTTGAGGAGTTATGATTGTGGAAACGACACTCTCTGTTTGTACTACTGTGAATGACTGCAGAACACCCCAGGTATAAAACATTATCATTATCATCTTTTTATCTCAGGACTAAAAGTCCGTTCTGAAGGGAACACTAGAGTGGCATTTACCCAGTGCCCTTTGTGCCAGTTGTGAGTATGGACTCCCTGACAGCCTCAAAACAAAAGCTACGGTTATGAACCTGTTTGGATTATGATCCACTATGTTTGTCCTGAACAGAAGGGATGCACAAGAAGTTACAGGTTTAAATATAATAACAAATAAACAACAAATCCAGTGAAGCTCTGATATAACCAATCTTTACAAAGAGTAAATGTAGAGTTTCCCAAACTGTGGATCACGCACCCCTATGTGTTAGTGTTACCTGAGCTCCTTCTTTGATACCGAAATTAATTCAACATTTCAATGACTTGCCTTTTACGTTCTTCTTGGGGTTAATCCTCCTCACGTATTTTGTTCTTTGATTGCTGGGGCATGTCTTTAGTTAAGGGGTACCTTTTGTGGATTGTTTGAACTAGAGATGCACCGATCCAGCGTTTTCAAGTCCGATCCCGATGCCGTGGCTTCAATATCTGCCGTTATCGGGTGTGAGTCCATACCAGTGAAGCATTTTTCTCCCTTAAAATCTCAGCTAATTCATTACAAACTGGTCGAGTTGTAACGATAGAATTAGAATACTTCAAGCCAATGTACTTGTAATTCAATTGACAATCTGAAACAACTACATGTATATGTAACACAAGAAGTGAGATATATCAAGCTTTTTTTTGTTATAATGTTGACAATTATGGCTCACAGCTATAAAAACCCCTAATTAAGACACATCACAAAATTAGCAAAATGTTGAAGATTCACTGTAAGCCATAAACATTTGAACAATATGCTAATATGCTTAAATGTATATGACATTCAGGGCAAGTAAACACACTTTCTACTCAAACTATGAACTGAAACAGGATCAAACCGAGACCCGATCCATCAAAAGTATCAGTGCATCCCTAGTCTGACCAGCAGTGATGCAGGCTAACTCTTCTGCCTCACCCCCCGCCTCCCGCTCTTGGCCTGAACCTCCCGAACTCTGTGGGGACCTGACCCTGCTCTGCTCATAGCCTCTGGGACTGGAGCCCTGAGTCCCTCCCCTCTTTCTCCACGGCCTCTGCCAGCTCTCCATCCTCTAGCTCCATCCATGTCCCGTCCACCACCCCCACACACCGCCACTCATCGCCCAAGTAAGTTAGGGTCAGTGGTCCATCTGTCGCCCCCCCGTGTGAAGTGCCCACGTCACCCACCCCCCCTGCATGTAGCCACCGCATGAGGCCCAAACCCCTGTTGTAGAGATGGACTTACAGTATGTGCCGTTTCTTTTCATTTTAGTGTGATGTGATGTCGTCTGCAACGCACTACAAACATGGAGTAAAAGTAAAAGTTAAAGGGACCGCATGTGGTATACGCTGTTTAGTAAAGTCATTATTATTAAAATCACGCTTTTGTTGCCAGATTCTTCCTGCCTGTTACACATGCAGCATCTCAACACTGGTTACTGATGCAATCCACCTGCTTGGGTTTAGCTTGAAGTAACTCTGTATATTATTACATGTCTATTATTTTGTGCATCTGCTTTAATGTAAATGTGTGGTGCTATTTATCATTTGGACATTTTGTAATTCATGTAGAATTCATGTAGAATTTTGTAATTCATGTAGAATAAGGGCGACAGTAGCTCAGTTGGTAGAGCATTGGCCTTAAGGCCTGAAGGTCGTGGGTTCAATTCCCACCTCTACACCTTCTCCATTGGCTCCCACTGATGACTGCTGTCGTTGTGTCCTTGGGCAAGACACTTAACCCCGCTTTGCCCAAAGCCCCCGCTGAAAGATCAAGGCTATGCTCACACTCAGAGAGCAGCTGTCCTCCTGTGGACTCACCACCTGCAGAGGGTCAGTGAGGGGCTGGTGCTATGAGACTTGGGTGGCATCTCTGATTGCCACCCCCCTGACCCAGAAATGGATTAAAGGGTAGAAAATGGATGGATGGATGGATGTAGAATAAGAGGGTGAAATTAAGATGGTTTTGGCTGTAACAAACTGGCAACCCAAATGAGAGCCTCATTCTGCTCTCTGATTGGATAATCTGCTTGATAATTGTACACATACATATTTTGGAAATCATTCCAATTGTCCATCCATCCATCGATCCATTTTCTTCCGCTTTATCCGTTGCCGGGTCGCGGGGGCAGCAGTCTAAGCAGAGACGCCCAGACTTCCCTATCCACACACACTTCCTCCAGCTCGTCCGGGGGGACCCCAAGGCGTTCCCAGGCCAGCTGAGAGACATAGTCCCTCCAGCGTGTCCTGGGTCTTCCGCGGGGCCTCCTCCCGGTGGGGCGTGCCCGGAACACCTCCCCAGGGAGGCGTCCAGGAAGCATCCGGAACAGATGCCCGAGCCACCTCAACTGGTTCCTCTCGACGTGGAGAAGCAGCGGTTCTACTCCGAGCTCCTCCCGTGTGACTGAGCTCCTCACCCTATCTCTAAGGGAGCGCCCAGCCACTCTGCGGAGGAAGCTCATTTCGACCGCTTGTATCCGCGATCTCGTTCTTTCGGTCATTACCCAAAGCTCATGACCATAGGTGAGGGAGGGAACGAAGATTGACCGGTAAATCGAGAGCTTTGCCTTTCGGCTCAGCTCCCTCTTCACCACAACGGTCCGATACAGCGACCGCATAACTGCGCACGCTGCACCGATCCGCCTGTCAATCTCACGCTCCATTCTTCCCTCACTCGTGAACAAGACCCCGAGATACTTGAACTCCTCCACTTGAGGAAGGACCTCTCCACCCACCTGCAGAGGGCAAGGCACCTTTTTCCGGTCGAGCACCATGGCCTCGGATTTGGAGGTGCTGATTCTCATCCCAGCCGCTTCACACTCGGCTGCAAACCGCCCCAGTGCATGTTGCAGGTCCTGGTTCGTTGGAGCCAACAGGACAACATCGTCCGCAAACAGCAGAGATGAAATCCTGTGGTCTCCGAACCGGACCCCCTCCGACCCCTGGCTGCGCCTAGATATTCTGTCCATAAATACAGTGAACAGAACCGGTGACAAAGGGCAGCCCTGTCGGAGGCCAACATTCACCGGGAACAGGTCTGACTTACTGCCGGCAATGCGAACACAGCTCTGGTTCCGGTCATACAGGGGATCGGATGGCCCTCAGCAGAGGACCTCCAACCCCGTACTCCCGGAGAACCCCCCAAAGGACACCCCGGGGAACACAGTCGAACGCCTTCTCCAAATCCACAAAGCACATGTGGACAGGTTGGGCGAACTCCCATGAACCCTCGAGTATCCGATGGAGAGTATAGAGCTGGTCCAGTGTTCCGCGACCGGGACGAAAACCACACTGCTCCTCCTGGATCCGAGATTCGACCATCGGCCGTAACCTCCTCTCCAGTACCTTGGAGTAGACCTTACCGGGGAGGCTGAGGAGTGTGATCCCACGATAATTGGAACACACCCTCCGGTCCCCCTTCTTGTAGAGAGGGACCACCACCCCGGTCTGCCACTCCATTGGCACTGCCCCCGATCGCCACGCGATGTTGCAGAGACGTGTCAGCCAAGACAGTCCTACAACATCCAGAGACTTTAGATAATCAGGGCGGATCTCATCCACACCCGGAGCCTTGCCACCATGGAGGCTACCAACCACCTTGGTGACCTCAGCCAGGGAGATGGATGTACCCGCCCCAACATCCTCAGCCTCTGCCTCTGTAACAGAGGACGTGACGGGGGGATTGAGGAGAACCTAAAGTATTCCTTCCACCGCCCGACAATATCCCCAGTCGAGGTCAGCAGCTCTCCACCCGCACCGTACATGGTGTTGGCAAAGAACTGCTTCCCCCTCCTGAGGCGCCGGATGGTTTGCCAGAATCTCTTCGAGGCCGACCGATAGTCATGCTCCATGGACTCTCCGAACTCCTCCCAGTCCCGGGTTTTTGCCTCTGCAACAGCCCGGGCCGCGGCACGCTTGGCCTGCCGGTACTGGACAGCTGCCTCAGGAGTCCCCCGAACCATCATGGCTCGATAGGACTCCTTCTTCAGCCTGACAGCATCCCTTACTGCCGGTGTCCACCACCGGGTTCCGGGGTTGCCGCCGGGACCAGCACCAGAGACCTTGCGACCACAGCTACGAGCCGCCGCATCGGCGATTGAGGCAGAGAACATGGTCCACTCGGACTCCATGTCCCCCTCCTCCGCCGGGACCTGGGAGAAGCTCTCCCGGAGGTGTGAGTTGAAAGTCCGTCTGACAGGGGGCTCAGCGAGACGTTCCCAGCAGACCCTCACTATACGCTTGGGTCTGCCAGGTCTGACCGGCTTCTTCCCCTGCCAGCGGATCCAACTCACGACCAGGTGATGATCGGTTGACAGCTTCGCCCCTCTCTTTACCCGAGTGTCCGAGACACGCGGTCGAAGGTCAGATGATACGACAACAAAGTCGATCATCGACCTCCGGCCTAGGGTGTCCTGGTGCCACGTGCACTGGTGGACACCCTTGTGCTCGAACATGGTGTTCGTGATGGACAAACCGCGACTGGCACAGAAGTCCAACAACTGAGCACCGCTCGGGTTCAGATCAGGGGGGCCGCTCTTCCCGATCACCCCTCTCCAAGTGTCACTGGCGTTTCCCACATGGGCGTTGAAGTCCCCCAGGAGAATAACGGAGTCCCCGGGCGGTGCACCCTCCAGTACCCCTCCCAAGGACTCCAAGAAGGCCGGGTACTCTACACTGCTGTTAGGCCCGTAGGCCGTCACAACAATGAGAGACTTGTCCCCCACCCGGAGGCGGAGGGACGCGACCCTCTCATTCACCGGGGAGAACTCCAACACGTGGCGGCTGAGATGGGGGGCAATGAGTATGGCCACCCCAGCTCGCCGCCTCTCCCCGTGGGAAACTCCAGAAAAGTGGAGCGTCCAACCCCTCTCAAGGAGTTGGGTTCCAGAGCCCAAGCTGTGTGTGGAGGTGAGGCCGACTATCTCTAGTCGGTATCGCTCAACCTCCCCCACGAGCTCGGGCTCCTTCCCCCCCAGTGAGGTGACGTTCCACGTCCCAAGAGCCAGATGTTGTGTGTGCGGACTGGGTCGCCGAGGTCTCCGCCTTCGACTGCCGCCCAGTCCTCTCTGCACCGCTTCACCACGGACCCCTCTGCAGGTGGTGGGCCCACAGGAGGGACTGCCCACGTCATCCCTTCGGGCTGAGCCCGGCCGGGCCCCGTGGGCTAAGGCCCGGCCACCAGGCGCTCGCATACGGGCCCCGACCCCAGGCCTGGCTCCAGGGTGGGGCCCCGGCTGCGCCATGCCGGGCGACGTCACTGTTTTCGTGTTAGTGCCAATTGTATTCTTAATTAAGAATAACTCCTCTATCTGTGTACAGTGTATATGACCTGTTTTCTGCGATACGATAGACAAAGACAACATTACATACGGTCCCTTTAAAAACAAGTCTGGTATAAGCAGTGTTCATCTTGAAATGAGTTCATTTTGCCTGTTTTAGAATATAATATGGATCAGCATATATGATATTTCTTTGTTTAAGATGATGCTTAGAGTTCTTATTGTAGTTAAACAAGTCAAATTAAGTTTCAACTTGAAAATCATATTCTAAGACGGTCAAATGAAACTTGAATTAAGATTATTTACATTTATTTATTATTATTATTTATTCTTCGATCTGTTGCTTTATCCCCCGTCCCTTATATTATTGACAAAAACATTCAAGGTTGAAGACAGTTTTGTGCACAAATATTTCTTATTTGTGATGGTGGTGATCTGCTCCTCCTGAAGCCACACATGACTTGAGTCAGACTGTCATTTACATAGCTGCCATTCTGTGCCTATGGCCTGCACCTCTCACACAGTCTTTTGGTAACGAAGTGTGTCCTGCAGGAGCACGTCCAGACGAGGAGAGGCCTTTGGAATCAGTCGCATCGGCAGCAAAATCAAGGGAGTGTTCAAGAGCACCACCATGGAGGGCGCCATGCTGCCGTCCTACGCCATGGTGGAGGGAGAGGACGATCTGGTAACACATTTTTTAAAATCTTTTGTTATTATTTATCAGAACTTTGAAACTTTGTTGTTATGTTATCATTGAATTATTACATATTCCATTCACCTGAAAGGTCTGTCCTTCACTACTGTAGTCACTTTACCTGCTGCTATTATTACTGTTGTTTACTCCAGGGGGGCGAATAAAGAATTGTCTTATTTTATCTTGAATTAGCACAAGTAGGATTTAACAAGAATGAAAACTAAACTAAAACAGTACGCCACCATTGCGAGCTATAGTGATAGCTCTATTGGTTCTATTTCCTCCACTCACTAATGGGGGGAGTAGACTTTTTTTTCCTTCTGGGAGAAAGTCTGATCTGTTGTCTCACTGCTGTACTGCAGACTGTGGCCAGCAGGGGGCGTGCAGAGGTTGTTGGGTTCATGTCTGTTGTCTGCTGTGGAGGGAACAGGCCACATGTGCTGGTTGTAAATCTCTTCAAAACATCAGAACATTCTCGACCACGTTGATGATTTTTGCAAAATAAAAGCAATTAAAGCAAATAAACCTCGACATATGGTCAAGGAAGGTCTCCAGATGAAGAAGAAAAAAAAACTATTCTTATTTTAATAAAAATCATAATTATTAGATTTACATTATACGCATACAGCGCTTTTTGGACACTTGTGTTAAAACGCAAAGGTTAATACAAAACAAAAATAGATAAATAAAAAGCTTAGATGTGCAGTTTTGAGAGTGATTTGAAGTTCTGAAGTGAACCAGAGCTCCAGAGAATGGGGGCAGCTGCAGCGAAGGACTTTGGGCTCTCATCTTTAGATCAGCCTTTTTAGACATTAAAGTGAAAATTGAGAACCTCCCTCAGCCAATGATCCCAAAGCGTATAACAGTGACTCAAGTGGAAAAGATCGCATGTTGTTATTATCTTTAGTTTGTTTAGATACAGATACAATAAACACAATCTGTCATACATGCATCATGGTGCTGACAGCCAAAGCTTATTTGCAGCACTTGTCATACAGTATTTGACATTCAGTAAAGAAAAAAAGACAATACATGATAAGCACAATGTTAGAAACACTACAGTGAGACAATTGTAGAGTAAACCATAGTGTTTTTTTCCCACAGCATTTTATTTGATTAATATCAGTTCATGAATAATAATCCTAGGCCGTATTTTATGAGAGGACTGACCAAGTGCTGACTCTAGAATGTTTGCTGAAAATGGAATTTGAACATAAGCTAGCTGGACCCAATATCCTTATTGGTCAAGCCTGTGATTGATTAGCTTCATATCTGGATTTACAAAGACAGTATCACAATATAAATATCAGGATCACAGAGAGCGCTAAACCAAGTTTTTGTGACATAAACGCTTTCTGAGCATGACGAGTTTACTTTTGAATGTGAGTCAATCAGAGCCAGAATGAGTATTTCAGTGTATTTTGAAATGGATAAATAAGTGAGATTGACAAGGGGGTGGGACTGTTGTTAAGGACGGAGAATCACGGGGGTTCCTCTTGAAGAGGATTAAATGCAAATAAAATATTGAATATGAATACATACAGTTTAGTCAGACTGTCACCGTCACACTCAGGTGGAAGAGGCCTTGATGGTTCAGGAGGACGACTCTCCGCTGGAGGCTGCCTCGACCCCCAGTACCCCCCGGAACCTGTCGGCCTGGACCATCACCATTCCCTACATCGACTTCTATGACGATGACACTAAACGGGAGCGGGTCCCCGTCTTCTGCATCGACGTGGAGAGAAACGACCGCAAAGCAGGTACAGAAAGGCCTATGCACTCCCTCAGCTTTGGCCAGAGAACGTTTGGGCCTTTTTGTTAAAGCCACCTTGTATGTTTGTATGAAATCTGTGACTAGATAATTATTCCTAAACCTGACTTTGTGAATACACAACACAATACAACAGAATAACACATAGATTTAAAAAGGGGTTGGATGAAGCTGATAAAGATTCCAAACCTCCTTACCCATTCAACAAGACAAAAGAAATACAGTAAAACAGTAGCATTCAATTCCGGAGATCCTTTATTCAGCCCACAGTGGGGAAATTTCACTGTTGTATCATCAAGATAAATGAACAATAACTTAAAACTAAAATTAAATCAAATGAAAAAAATCATAATAATCTTAATCATAATAAAGAAGCAAGTATAAAATCTCTAGATTGGGCATAATAAGGAAGCAAATCTAGAATTTCTAACTTTAGCATAATGGTAACACACACAGGCATAACATAGCATAGCATAGCATAGCATAGCATAGCATAGCATAACTGACACATTGTTCAGCAGACACATTGACCACTCCCTGATGTATTGTGTGGTTCTCTGCAGTGGGTCAGGAGATGGAGAGCTGGTCTGTCTACAGAAGATACCTGGAGTTCTACGTTCTTGAATCCAAACTGACAGAGTTTCATGGTGGGAGTCTCCTCAACTCTGCCCCATTACTCTGTTTTTTACGTGTTTTCACTTTGTTAATAACATTCTTCATGATTTCAGGGTCATTTCCAGATGCACAGTTGCCATCGAAGAGAATCATCGGCCCCAAAAATTACGAGTTTCTGACGTCGAAGCGCGTGGAGTTTGAGGAGTATCTTCAGGTGATAAACTATTTCTGTGTAAAATGATCTTTGGTTCATCACATTAGCATAAACCGACAGAAATATTTATTTTCAAATATGTGACTCTCCTACAAGTGTTAACATTTTACAATATCCGTCTATGGTTAGAATACTGTATGGCTCAAATTTGCTCGGGCGGAATGCAATAAATAAATGATGTATATTTGTAAGAAAATTAGTGTTTATCATTATTTATTATTCTATTGTCTCATTTTCTTGTTTAGGTTAAATTATTGTTTAGATTAAACCAAACCTGGACCAAATATAAAAAAAGACTTATAGGCCTTTTAGTTTTAATTTTTTTTGTATAGATATATTAAACTTCTTTGGATTGGATTCTACTGTTTGAATAGAACAATCCTGAAAAAAATTAGCTTCAAAGGTGATCTCTCCAACTTCAATCGTTTCTCATTTTGACAAGAATACTTGACCCTGTATTATTGTCTATATTAATTCACAATCAATACATTTAAAACAGTCCCTCCTCCTGGAATACTCATCACCAATAGGATTTGCTGGAGGAGAATAGTTAGACCAATGGGCGGGGCCTCAGCTGTCTATCAGAAATGTTAATTTGAATTAATTGCGTCCAATGTTGGAGGCGGGTCTAACTGGTACATGCTTTCAAAAAACGTCTCAATATTCGCAATTTGAAAAGTAACGGACCTTCATATTAAAATGATGTATAACATGCCATAGTAGCACATAGTATCATCACATACTAATAATACACATCTATAACAAAGAATTCTCTCTCCTTGAATATTTCTAGAATCTACTGCAGCATCCGGAGCTCAGCAACAGTCAGCTTTTAGCAGATTTCCTTTCTCCTCACGGCATAGAGTCGCAATTCCTCGACAAGATGCTGCCTGATGTCAACCTGGGTATAGTAAACCACACATATTTGATAGGAGGTTGATTTGAAGTTGAAGTTTTTATCCACATTACAACATTGTTCTCTCATCAAAACAGACCTTGAAATGTGAGGCCATGCATATTTCAGTCTTATTGGTTCACTTGTATGTTATTTTATGAGGAAAAGATTTGGGATCCTGGTCTGTGAAAGGCGCTTTACAAATATTTTCTACTTTCTCACCCAGAACTGAATGTGTGAATGCACCCTCGGAGTAGTTTTGCCTAGTATTACGCAGAACTAGTTGTTCTTTGCAACCGAATTTGCAAGTTCTACACCTCCCTCTGGTGGTAGCATCAGGATACGACAGGCCCATACCATTATTTACCCTTTATACTTGTTTCGGCCCATATTTTCTATTGAAGTAGTTATTTCACAATCTCAACCATAAATGTACAGTTAAGTAAATAGCCTCAATCTATATCATTTCATTTCAATTCTTTTTTTATTCCAAAAACTAGCATTAGCATAATATGACAACAGAATTATTCTATTAAATCGGAGTAATATAATAAAAGTGATTTTGCAGAGAAAGTTGACGTTTAGTGTTTGTTTGCTTCACAGGGAAAATCATTAAGGCTGTTCCCAGTAAACTGATCAAAGAGGTAAGAATGAAGAACAGAAATCACATCATGGACTTTTCCCTGTGTTTATAATTAACGGTAAACTTCCTCCGTTAGAAAGGACAGCATCTGGAGCCTTTCATCCAGTCCTTCTTCAACTCGTGCGAATCGGCCAAACCCAAACCCAGTCATCCGGAACTCACCATCCTGAGCCCCACCTCCGAGAACGACAAGAAGGTGCACCGCGCTTCTTTACAGATACCCCCATCATTTTATTTTTTCTAAAACACCTCCAAAAAAATGTGCTTGACAACTCCATGGACTAGCAAAAAACAAATGGCTGGACTTTTTGTGAAGCTGTAGTTTTGGCCTCTGTTGACTCATTGACTCTCATTGTAGGTCTAAAGTCTGCCTGCGTTTTCCGTGTCAGATTTATAAAAAATGAGGTGATAAAGGCTTGAATAAAGTGGTTTTTATCTTAATTTGGTACATTCTGACTGTATTAAAACCAGATTTGCCAATGGGACAAAGCCATTTAGTCTGACTTCAAGAACTGCTGCTTTATTTTGCTCGTCTCATCGGCAAATTTTGTTTTATGGCTTAAAAATGTAAAATGTGCTTAAATTAACATACATTTTACCTTATTTTTAGATATCAAGAGATCCTTTATTCGTCTCACATGGAGATTTCAGCGTTGCATCACCAGTTAAAGAACAGTAGGAGGAGCACACAGCGCAAGATTAGTGAACAATAATAAAAAATTAAATCTAACTTTAGAATTTAAGAAGCAAACATAAAATCTGTAGCTTTGGCATAACAAAAAAGCAAGTCTAACATCTTCAACTTTAGCACTATAAGAAGTCATTTTTGTTTCAAGTTTCTCTTTGAAAAAATAGTACAGAAATAATGCGTGGTGTTTGTGTTGTGAGTTGGAGGAGGAGTGACTTTGTGGCTCTTGTTCTCTTCTTTTAGCTTTTCAACGACCTCTACAAGAACAACGCCAACCGCTCAGAGACGTCAGAGAAGAGACACAACCAGAATTACTTCATGCAGATGATCAACGTGGAAGGACTCTACGACTATTTGATGTACATAGGTGAGTGATCAGTGAGTCTGCTGCTGTGTGTGCTACTGCTGGAAGTAGTCATCGTGGACAACACACAACATAATGTCAATTTACGTTCAAAATAAATATATTTTCAAGTTGTTAATATGTGTGCATTTGTATTTTATGTGGACTCGAGTAAGAATAGTATTGGGGATCCAGAATAGATCTAACACATGTCCCTAAATGCTGCTGCTGTACTGATGTGTCTCTCTGTCTCCCTCTGCTGGAAACAGCCGGTCCTGCATATAATGTCATTCATGAAATTATCTTAGTAACTCCAGATCCTTACCCTAACTATGGCACCATGTCCTCAGCTCGAGTGGTCTTCCGCATCCCTGATTGGCTGCACCACTTGCTGATGGGCGTTCGGATCCTGGTGAAGAACACTCTGGAGGCGTATTCCCATCACTATCTGCAGAGCAAGCTGAGCCAGGTCCTGGAAGAACACCGCGTCGTGTCCCTCATCACGCTGCTCCGAGGTACAACCAGGCTTTGTTTTTGGGTTGATGATTTTTATTTTTTTGTTGTCATTTATTCGTCCCACAGTGGGGAATTTTCAGTGTTGTATTGTCACCGGTTACAGAACAGTAGGAATGAGGAACATACAGCACAAGATAAATGAACACAGCTCTATACGCTATGCTAAATAACTATACTAAATAAAATAAAATGTAAAATAAAAATCTCTACTTTTAGCATAAAAAGGAAGCAATCTATAATCTCCAACTTTAGCATAATAAAGAAACAAGAATGAAGTACAACATTTCTGACTATAGATGGACAATGCTAACCCCCTTGCTCCATGAAGCCCAATAGCAAAGTGCTCATGGATGACCCAAAAACCCGTCTTTTATGAACAATAGTCCACTAGTAAACACCCAGGGTTCCTTCTGCATAAATGTTTCTTTATAATTAAACATGACTTGCCTCGTAACTACATCATATTGCAACCAGCCTCATAAATGAAGTTCAGAAATCAAAGTAAGACACTATTTTCTGGTTTTGTCTTGAGCAGATGCTGTGTTCTGTGAGAGCAGCCAGTCTCGTTCAGCTCAGGAGAAACACAAAAGAGCCAAAAAGGCCTTTGAGGAAATGCTACGTTATATCCCAGGTATGTGCTGTTATTTATGGTTATTGCAAAAAAATGTTTCGTAGGTTGATGCTCACACACGATCTTCTTTGTAGATATAATTGGGAAATGCATCGGAGAGGAGCAAAGGTATGAAGGGGTGTGTCTTCTTTTTGATGGTCTGCAGCAGCCGGTCCTCAATAAACAGGTATATCCTTTATATTTATACGTGTTCAATGTATTTTATAGGATTTTACATGGATTTAATTTAGAGGTCTTGTCCTTCTTTTTGCTCCTAGCTTACATATGTGCTCTTGGATCTCACGCTACAAGAGCTGTTTCCAGAGCTGTGCAAGGTATGGTGTTAAAGTGACTGTTACTTTTTGAATTGTGAAGAGAGAGAACACTTTCCGAGGCAGGCACTGGTTAGACCATTCTCACTGCTTCCTAATTGGATAGAATATATTTGAGCACTTGATATACCTTCAATCATAAGTTTTACGTTTTATAATAATATGGTGAATAAAACACAAAATATCATTACTCTTCTTACTTTCTCAATCTAATTGTTACAGTTGGGGGACAATCTTCTCTATATGTTTTTGTTTGTCTTAAAGGCACACCGCGGACTTTGTGACCTAAAGAGTTGACACATATGAGTTATTTTATATGAATACTTGGGCCAATATACAGCGCTTGACACTTGCAATGCTCCGAGCGGGGCTGCCCTCTTGAAATACCGCCCATGTAACTTTCGAGCAGACGGACCGTCTGCCACCAGGTCACGTGACTTGGAAGAAAGACTTGCTTTACGGCTACAGGCGCTGATATACTCATGGAGCTAAGGCTTTTGCTACTCATTTTTCACCTGCTCGACTCCTGGTCATGGCTGAGGCAAGGAAAAATTTTAAACCTTCGGAGGAGGCTAAAAAGAGGAAACGCGAAAGGGATCGTGCTATAAGCTGCATGTCTGTATGAGCGCTGCTGTTCACCTGGTTCCTGGATGTCATCGACCGCAAAGATGTCATTCCACGCAGCACGAGCTAGACGCAGAACTCCCTCATCCAGGATATAGAAGTCCATGTGTGGTAGATTACTAATGCAGCGGTCTGGAGGCTGACCACAGCAGAGTCTCTCAATATCTGTAGGCATGTCTCTACAGTTTGAACACACACACCAGTGCATGCTGTCTGAATACACACTCAAAAGACACCGGCTGACTGTTTGACTTTTGCGACAGTGCTGAGTTGCTTGTGGCCACTAGGGGCGCTAAACGTGAAAGTTGCAGGTCTAGCGCCCCTAGTGGCCAAGAGTTACACGGTGTGCCTTTAACAAAAAAAGTCCTGTAAAAGTAACTCAACACCACACACAACACACTGTCTTCATCTCATTTAAAAACATTACACTATTTGCATACTTTAAAAAATATCTGGAAGTCACCATTTGACACTTGTGCTTCACAGCGAGAGGGTCCTGGGTTCGGCCTTTCAGTGCTCTGGTGTCCCCTGCCTCTGAAAAGATGCTTGGGGTGAATGACTGTGTGTTTGTAAAAAATGATAACATATGGTTCGGTAATAATCGCTTGAATCGATTTGTTTTTATCCATTCTGACTGTGTCTTTAAACAAGATTCTCCAATGGGACAAGATAATGGATGGAAAAACAAGATAATTATTCTTTTCCCATTGGGTTGTCAAAATGTGCTCAAATAAAGAGACATTGACTAATTGTTCATCACTGTTTGCAGCGTGAGTGCGACTGTGGAAAGCTACAATCTGGAGTTGTCTGTTCAATAAATATGCACGGTTCCAACCAAATAAACAATACACAAATACAATTTCCAAAAGATCGGATTGACTTTTCTGTTTGAAAAAGTTGATCTAAAACTGTGACCGAGGCCAAAAAGACCCAGACGAGTGTCAGAACCCAACTGTTTAGATGGATTTTTTTTACATAGTCCATTCTTTTTTGGTTTGAAACTAATAATTACCAACATTTACCAATTACTTCTGTTTTCTTTCCTTTCAGACACAAAAAGAGAGCTCCAATGTAGCTCCCTGGATGTAACGCCCAGACTGTAGTAGAACTATTGCTCTAAGCACTTTCTCTCATCACTCGAAAAGGACACATTTTGTACCTCAAAGCTTCATGCAGAGACATTAACTGACTGAACGTATGTTTTGTATTTAAATTAAAGTCAATGATAACGTCTTCTCTTGTATCATTTGAGGTGATTTTTCACATCTCACGATTTCTCAGACTGTGTAGCGGCCTCTTTACACTCTGGTTCAGATAGTGTGTGTGACCAAACTCCTCATTCCATTTACTTTAGTTTATTCTTTATTTGAAAATGACAGTAACATTAAGCTCAAAGTCGTCATTGAGGCACTTAGACAGAGTCATCCAACCAACTTCAGCTCCACAAATACAGTCACGCTATACCTTGTTGTTGTAAATTTCAGACCCTCTGGAATCCAGTGATTGACTCTTGTTGTATAGTGACCTTTGTTTTATGATTGTGTCAAAACATTCCAAATTTAATGCAGCTGTGGTTTGAATCAATAAGGAAGTATCATAACCCGTTTTAAATTCCAGATTCCAGTCAATCCAGTTCCAAACCAGTTTTTTAATCCAGGTTGTTAGCCCGAGGTCAAGTCTGATGAACTAAAGTTGCTCTAAAAAGTTTGGACACCCCTGCTGTAGATTATGCACCAGATTGTATGTACACACCAACACACTGTCCTACATTAACAGTGTGGTAAGGAGCTGAGTTGGAAGGTTCAGTGGCAGTGCAGCCTTCTCCAGTCGCTCTGTCATAATCAGCCCTGAGGGGATTTTCTGCACAACTCTAATATTAGACAAGAGCGCTCTGCTGCGGGTCATGACTCCGACCACTGCTCTGGCACCAGCACAGGTGTCCGCCTCGGTCTCTTCACCAGGGAACGCTGCGTGATCTTAAATGTTGCGGTAAAAGGAAGTGTCCAGTGACCTTTTCTCTTGGTGCCTCTGTGGATGGAAGACGACAGACCCATAGAGTCATAAAATATTTGAAATGAACTGCAGTGAAATGTCAAAAGTGCATTTACTTCTGTATTTCATCATTGAACTTGAATACAGACTTGTGATCCAGAATAAGTAAAGTACATAACACAAAACTACACATCACATATAATCACCACAATGACCCGCACTCCCCAGAGCAAACAGCTGTACTGATGTCTCCACAGTTCAGATGGGAAGACGGAAGTAAGCCGTCAAAACATAATAATAAATTGGTTTTGAGTTACAATTGCTGTGGGCATTTGTCTCTCACTCCACTCAGAGATGGGAATGAGGTCGCCATACAGGAGGGGCATGTCAGAGCTATTGTACATGTTTTTAGTGCTAGGGGAAATCAAAACACCCAGAGGAAACCTATACAGACACGAGAAGAACATGCAAACTCCACTCAGAAAGACCCTGTTCTGACCAGGGTTCGAACCCAGGACCGTATAGTGCTTTTCAGGACACTCAAAGGCGTTTCACATATTATTCATTCACTTCATACACGGTGGTGATAAATTACTACTGTAGCCACAGCTGCCCTGGGGTACACTGACAGAAGCAAGGCGACCAGTATGTGCAATCGGCTGTCCCTACCAGTCATTCACTCACACACCAGACTCATTTCAGGCAATGTGGGTGAAGTGTCATTGTTCTGTCTCTGTTTTTTAGTGGCTAGATGAACTCCCGTTTAATTGTGATTTGTACATTTTGATTTACTTGTAAATGAGTTTTTTAATAATTAATTTTAAACACCTTTTTTTTATTGGTTTGGTTGCTATGTAGTTTTTGGTTCATTTGGTTGCTGTGCATGGTTGCTAGGCAGCAGAAGGCTCTCTAATATAGGCCGCCCTGGCACGGGCCTCTGCCGAAGCAGCGAATAGCACAGCAAAATACAGTAAGAAAAAACTAGAAATGAAAAGATTACAAGCAGAGAAAGAACTAGAAATGAAAAGATTACAAGCAGAGAAAGAACTAGAAATGAAAAGATTACAAGCAGAGAAAGAACTAGAAATTAAAAATCAGCAAGCACAACTAGAATTAGAAAAGGCAACACTAGAAGCAGATTTAGAGATGCTTGAGGCAGAAAGGGATGCTGCAGCCAAGACAGCGGAGGCAAAGGTTTTAGAAGCAGCTGTATCTGCAGTACAAGACGATGGGGAAAGTGTAAAAAGTGCAGTCCCACTCCAAGTTATCACTCAGAGAACAAAAGAGTATGTAGACCATCAAAACCAATTAAATTCACAAGTAGAAACTCTGCAAGACCCAAAACTTCATTTGGAATCTGCACCAAGCAGGTTTTCTACAGAGAGATTACGATCACCGCCCTCTCCATCAGCCCACAGGAAAAGTCAACAAAATAATGAGCCACAAATAGGTAATACTAAGCCATTAATCTACCAACCTTCTTGTCATAGCGACCCACCACCTATGGTAGATTTTGCCCGGTTCCTTGCGCGCAGAGAGCTCATAACCACAGGCCTCTCTCAGTTTGATGACACCCCTGAGAACTTTCGAGCATGGCAGTCATCCTTTCTGAATGCAACCCTGTGACTCTCTATAGTGAGGAATTAGACCTCCTAGTCAAGTGGCTCGGTAAAGAGTCCTCTGAGCATGTTAAAAGAATCAGATCAGTCTTTTGCACCAACCCTCAAGCTGCGCTCAAAATGTCGTGGGAAAGGCTCAATGAATGCTACGCCACACCAGAAGTAGTTGAAAATGCCTTATTCCAAAAATTAGACACTTTTCCTTACTTGACAAATAAAGACAACTTGAAACTCAGGGAGCTCGGCGATTACCTTTTAGAGTTGTTAGTTGCCCAAGAAGAAGGCTTTCTCCCGGGTTTGGCATATCTTGACACATCCCGCGGGGTCAAACCCATTGTTGAAAAGCTTCCCCCTAGTCTACAAAATGAATGGGTCCATCGAGGTTCAAAATACAAGCGAACAAACGATGTGACATTCCCTCCCTTCTCGTACTTTGTCAAGTTTGTGCGGGAGGAGGCAAAGGCAAGGAACGATCCAAGTTTTACTCTAAACCCTAGTCAACCCCTCAACAGAAGTGAGAGAGCACCATTTAGACAAACTAACTACAGGTCACCCATCACCGTAAACAAAACAGAAGTCGACGGAAATGCTCATGTAAATGCTTCAGAGGAAGATCCAACACGGTACTGTCCTATTCACAAAACAGCTCACCCTCTAATTAAGTGTAGGGCGTTCCGAATCAAACAGATACAAGAAAGACGTAACATACTCAAAGAACACAGAAGATGTTTCAGATGCTGTTCACCAACGCACACAATAAAGGATTGCGATCTGATTCTCACATGTGAGGAGTGTCAAAGTGACAGACATTGCTCTGCTATGCATCCCGATGCAAGCCAGTGGCATGAACCACGAACAACACCTGAACCAGATGCTCAGCCGCAAGTAAACATGCCTCCCGAGGTAACATCACGATGCACTGAGATTTGTGGTCGAGGCGGTCCATCCCGTTCCTGTTCTAAGGTGTGCCTTGTTCGAATCTTTCCAAAGGGACAACCTGAACGCTCTACAAAAATGTATGTCATCCTCGATGATCAAAGTAACAGCTCACTTGCTCGGCCCGAATTCTTTGATCTATTTGGAATACAGGGTAGCCCTATAACATACAACATGCGAACATGTGCTGGTCTAACTGAAATGCACGGCAGAAAAGCAGTGGGGTTCCAGATCGAACCAATAGATGGAGGTTTATGTCTTGACCTCCCCCCTCTTATTGAATGTAGTGAGATAATGTTCAATAACGAAGAAATACCAACACCAGAAATCGCCCTAGCTCACACTCACCTAAAACATCTGGCTCCTCTCATTCCCAAGTATGACCCAGGTTCTCAGATAGCAGTTCTTCTAGGCCGAGACATTATTCGTGTCCACAAAGCCCGGCAACAAGTGAATGGACCCCCTGATGCTCCCTTTGCTCAACGCCTCGATCTTGGCTGGGTAATTGTAGGAGAAGTGTGCCTCAACGCTCATAAGTCAACTGTCAACGTGTATAAAACCCACATACTTCCAAATGGACGCCCCTCTCTCCTGACTCCTTGTCACAACAGCATCAACATTAAAGAGACATTGTTCTACGGCGGGGAGAACAAGGATAGCATTCTTAAAAAGAGCTCAAAATTCAAGTCAGCAGAAGATAATCTTGCGGAGAATGTTTTTGAGCAAAAAGAGAACGACAACAGGTGTGCCATGTCATTTGAGGACGAGACCTTTCTGAAACTCATGGACAAAGAAGTCCATCAAGATGAAAACAAGAGCTGGATTGCCCCTCTGCCATTCAGATCTCCACGTTTGCCTTTACCAAACAACAGAGACCAAGCTGTATCCAGGCTTAATTCACTAAGACGGAACTTACTTAAAAACAAAGAAACAAAAGAACAGTTTTCTGATTTTATGGATAAACTGTTCCAGAACAATCATGCTGAGATTGCCCCACCTACCGACAGTGGCACAGAATGTTGGTACCTGCCTATTTTTGGAGTGTACCATCCCCAGAAACCAGGTCAGATACGGGCTGTGTTTGACTCAAGTGCAGAGAAGTTTGGTGTATCTCTCAACTCAGTGCTGTTATCCGGCCCAGATCTCAATAACACCCTTTTGGGCGTACTGATTAGATTTAGGAAAGAGCTCATTGCAATCACAACCGATATTCAACAAATGTTTTATGGGTTCCTGGTTAAGCCAGAACACCGAAACTATTTGAGGTTTCTGTGGCACAAAGACAATGACTTCCACAAAGAAGTGCAAGAATACCGCATGCGGGTGCATGTTTTTGGAAATAGCCCATCCCCAGCAGTAGCCATTTATTGCTTACAAAGAGCAATTCAAAAAGCTGAAGCAAAGTTTGGAGCAGACACCAGGCGTTTTGTCGAGAGGCACTTCTATGTGGACGACGGGTTGATTTCATTCCCTTCTGAAACTGCAGCTATTGACCTGCTAAAGCGCACGTGTGCATCCTTAGCTGAATCCAATCTCAAACTT